TAAATTAGCAGGGGGACAATATACAACCTAGAAAGCCCTAAACGGCTTCTGTCCAAGCTATTTTAAGGACCATGTTTCCCTTTCTGAGCCTACCCACATGTTAAGATAATCAGGGTAGGCCTTTGACCACCTACCCACAGAGATCTCATTGTTGCCAGATTCTGGAACTCTCTCCCACAAGAGGCTAGTATTGTATAGAGTGTCCTGATTCTGAAAAGTGCCAGGGGCAAACTTCAGCATTAGAAAAATCTAAGCTAAAAATTGCCTGATTTTACTTCTGTTTTTCACCCAAATGAAATCCTACCCCATTATACTTAAGATTGAAAATGTTTTTGTAATGCAGGAGATTACAAACCCAAGAAGAAGAGGATTCCTGGCTGAACACGCTGCTCCTTTCTCTGCCTTCTTAACGGATAGCTTTGGTCGCCAGCATAACTACTTGAGGATCTCCCTGACTGAGAAGTGCAACCTCAGATGTAAGTCAGTTTTGAATAGGATCATGTTAGTAAAGCCCAAAGATGTGTTCTTGTGCTTTATCATTACTGGATGCCTTAAACATAACGTAACTCTTCTGAGGCCTGATTGATACATTGCTATAGCAATATGGCTGCCACATCAAAAGTGGTTTAGTTTGATCAGAGACCAGTTACAGTAGTTGATACATGGAAGGGACAATTGGAGTGAACAGTGAGGCCAAAGCTGTTCCAGTGCTGCCCTTCCTGTGGGTTTTTCCAATCATAGAACATATATCTGTGTGTGATACACTATAAAGTAGAGAGCTGGTCCCCTAAATGTGTATGGCTATTCTGTATGACTTGCTTTTGTGTGGAAATGATTTTTCATTAGTAGGCACATCAGTATAGTAACTCATAAACGGTAGGGTCAAGGATTGGGATATTAAATTGAGAAGGAAGGCAAGTTGAACTGCTTTCTGTGATTCATTGGTTTTCCATTGTTTACATACTCTCTAGGAAACAAATTTGTGGTAACTCAAAATCATTTCCCCCTTCTTGAAAGATACTGTATTAATGGAAATAACATAAAACTTCATTGTACAAAATATTTCTATGGTAATTTTATATACAATAAAATAACCTTATTTTAGTAAGCAAATTATGTATTCAGATTTATTTTGTAACAAACTATTCTGAAGAAAGATGTGGATCACTGAGGTCATGTTGTAATCATATTTATTGCATCTTTCAGGTCAGTACTGTATGCCAGAGGAAGGGGTTCAGCTAACTCCCAAATCTGAACTGCTGACTACACAGGAGGTCATCACTCTTGCCAAGCTCTTTGTACAGGAGGGTGTGGACAAGATACGACTGACTGGGGGAGAGCCTCTCATCCGTCCTGATGTAGTGGATATCATAGGTATTCTCATATATGCATATGATAGCCATGTTGGTTACATCCTCTAGCAGAGTGGTCCCCAACCTTGGGCCTCCAGATGTTCTTGGACTTCAACTCCCAGAAATCCAGGCCAGCAGAGGTGTTGCTGAAGGATTCTGGGAATTGTAGTCCAAGAACATCTGGAGGCCCATGGTTGGGGACCACTGCGCGGCTAGCATACAAAGCTTATTATGCAGCAGCGTGGCGTGTTGAAGCAGGCTGCCTATGATAATTTGAGAATTCAGACAATGTTGCACATGTGCTTGTGACACGTCCTCAGTGATAATATAAGTGAAACAATGTACTGACCCTGGTGATTAAAGATTTCATGTTTTTTTATCTTTTCTCTGCTGTTATATCTTAATAATACTGATGTTAATGTAATGCTTAAACTAATGCTGATAAAGTATTTCTAGCCCCTTTGGTTCTGGTTGATAATGTTTAAATTAATGCTGATAATCAAGGTTCCCTCAGCCCCCCTCCGTGCAGGATTCCTCCTCCTCCATGCACCCACAGCAAGTATTTCTAGCCCCTTTGGTTCTGGTTGCGACGGAACCCTGCGTGATGGGGTGGAGTTGCACACATGAGGGGTGGGGCTAAAATTAAAGGGGACGTTGCTGATACCTTTCAAATTTTTTGCATTTGCATATTTCATGCACAGTACGTTAGCATTTGTGATGGGGTGGGGCTAAAATTAAAGGGGATGTTGCTGATACCTTTTAATTTTTTTGTATTTACATATTTCATGCACAGTACGTTAGCATTTGATGGACCTTATTATACCTAATTAGCTCTCGCACAACATTTCTACTCTAACAGATTACTACACTTCAGTAACTTTTATATATGCTATATTTCACATTGTGTCCCACGTTCTTTCATAGGTATAATGTCTGTTTAGGAAGGAGTATATAACCAAGATGTTCTTTAAGTGGCCATCTATGGATTCACCCAACCTCCCCTCTGACTGTCATGCTATTCACAGTTGTCTTTTCTGGCAGCGGAGAGAGGGAACTGAGGAGCAACTGTTGGGTGGATGAACATATTGGCTAAGGGGAAGGGCCAAGCTCTAGAATGTCCCCAAGAGTGTTTGCACTGACACGGAAGTACCCGTGCGTGTGAACTCAGAGATGACCAGTTGAAGAACCACAGCTACAAGTTTAAAAAAAATCAGGAAAGGTCGTGTCATTCCCCCCTCCCCCCCGAAAAAAATACAGATGCAAGAGCAGGTGATCCCTTTATTGGACTGCTTAGCAGTTCTTTGTTTAAAAAGTTGGGAATTCCCAACTGCTGCCTGGCATGGAGTTTGAAACCACCACCACCCACAAACTATTTGCAAATTGCCTCTGAACTCACCTTAAGAAAAGTCACTTGGGATGAGCAACAGCCATGCAATTTTGGGGCTCTAATATATGATTTTCTAAATGACCTGCAAGATCTCAGTGCACATCTTGATGACAATGAGTTGTCACTGAAAGCTAGCTGCCTGCTTGATTAAGTAAACTATCCTTTTTCAGTGGCTGCTTAGCCTTTGTATTGGCAGCTTGTGAAACATAAAGCCGTGTTTTACACAAGACCTTGTTTGTGCTCTTTTCTACACAGGTATAGCTGTTAAAAGTGTGAAAACAATGTCTTTGATATTGGCAGGGACTACAGCTCAGTACCAGGGCACGCAGAAAGTCCCATTTTCATGGCATTTCCAGCTAAAAGGATCAGGTACAGGTTCAGAGAAAAACACCTGCCTGAAATCCTAAAGGACCCAGTTATAATGGATATTTTCTAAGTACACAAATAGTTTGACTTAGTAAATACGGTGCTCCCTCCCCCCAATGAATTCCAGTGCCTTAGTGTCAGTTTGAACCATGTTCCTGGGGTCCTAGTCCACTACACCACACTGGCTTTCCACTTGGTATAAGGAGACCCTATGTTTTCTTCCAAGGTTGGTCAATAAGAGGGAATGGTTTTCAATCTTTAGTCCAAAATTTTGTATTTTTGTTATGAGAATTCCTTACCATTGACTGGGGCATCTGAGAACTAAAATCTATAGCACCTGGAGAAGCAAATGTTGGGAGTCCCAGATTTTGAGGAAGGAAAGGTTTGAAGAAGATAGTGGTGTTTTGGGGGAAGCCTCATTAGAACCTTAGAGGCTCATTTAAGATCATGCTGTCTGAAGGGCTTACATAGTGCTTTAGATATGTGTCATGTTGAATTTATGTAATTTAAACACATGTCCATTTTCACCCATCCCTCAGCTGCTGCTTTTGTCTTCCGATTTATTCACTGTTCTTATTGGTTAATCTTAACCCCCTTTAAGATTTAGACATTTCTGTTAATATCCTTTTCTCTCCATTGTTTTTCCCCAGCTGAGATGCGCGAACTAGAAGGGTTGCAAACCATTGCTGTCACTACTAATGGCATCAACTTAGCTAGACTGTTGCCCCGGCTGAAGGAGGCAGGCCTAAATGCCATTAACATCAGCTTGGACACATTGGTTCCAGCGAAATTTGAATTCATCGTCCGTCGTAAAGGTACAGCTGGACGTGTGGCTTATTTTTTTTAATTATGTATTTAGAGTTTTCATTATTCTATGGAGACCAGTGCTGATTTAGAAGTCTGTATGCATCATCCATAATTGAGCCTATTTTTTCTTTAACTTTCAATAGTAGAATTCTTTTCAATTACAGATTTCTATACAGTATGTACAGAAGAATAAGGATGACTTAAACCTAGGAGCACTCTGTATTTTTGTGATGGTGTAATTATTGATAAATTGTTTAACATGTGAAGCATGCTGATCTGTGAAGCCTTACCATTTATAAAACACAACCAGGCAAATGTGAAGGCAAAGGAAAGACGTTTGCAAAGACATAAGCTTTACTCAGTTCTGTAGTCTGGAATAATAAGTATGGTTACAGAGGAAAAGGTAGCACTTTGTTCACATGGTCAGCATTGTGCCTGAAGGCTCCTCATATGTAGACTCTGCATATGAGCAACCCAAATTTTCCAGAATTCTTGCTCAGAACTTTGACAGAAGCAACAGCCTCTCCATTTCAGTCTTGTCACTGCTTCCACAAGGAAAGTGACAAGGAAAGGATGTTGCTACCTTCTCCCCTGTAGCCATATTGATGATTCCTGATTTCCAAATCACTGACTGGTGCTTTAGTAAAGAATGAACTGTGGGAGATCAGATTCACAGTGTGTGTGGTATAGGAAACTGACCATTATGAAAAGCTTTCCTGAAAACAACTTAATTTTTTTTTTCTTTTAAAAAGGGAAATCTATGGGAGTTAGTGTGACAAAGAGAGCCAGAGATACTTCTGCTTAAGAGGGCCTGTAGGCTGAGGAAAGAAGGGCAAGAAAGATTCACAAGGAGCTCAGAATTAATGAACTCCCACTGTGAAGAGAATAGTAGCAGAACAGGAGACACATAGAGATTGAAAGGGAGGAACTCTGTAGTGATAATCACAAAAATCACTGAATTGATGTAAAATCAAGGGCCTGATTTTAAATTCTGTTTTAATAATGATAGATATTCTAAACTCTTTTAAATAACGAAGGAAGCCCATATGGTTGGATCATTTGGATTATTTTCAATGTCCAAGAGCAGTTTTGCAGAAAATGTAATTATTGTTCTTAGAAATACATTATAGCATCCAAAATCTAGTTTTTCTCATATGAATGATTTTCAGACACCAGTGAAACAAAAGCAGATAGATTGTTACTACCACAGGAAGTATTCATGTTTCAGTTCCTAAAAATATTGAGGGAAATATCTGCAAAGGTATTCTGGAATCCAAAAGAGCTTTTAAAGATCTCCCCCTCACACACACACACACACCCTGAAATGTCTGCAGATCAGTGAACCATTGAATGACTCCATATGATCTGAAGTTGTCATTTCTGTTCTGCAGTTTTTAGACTATGTACAATCTGTTTTCCCCACCAGTTCTCCAGAATTTCAAATATCTCAAAATTCCTTCAAATATTTCAAATTTTCTGATGAATACTAAGCATTAGTAGCACAGAATCCTGTTGGAGATTTATGGCTGCAGAGGTGTAATTGTATAAACTACAGCAGTGAATCACTGCTAATTAGCAAATTACTGCTCATATTCCTTGTCATATTCCAGCCATTTGACTTGACAGATGACCAGGAATGCAAGTAGAAGCAACAATTTGTCACTCTGATTTATGCAGTTACACTGGTTTAAGTAGGATTCTGACATATAAATATGGTTTAACTAGCATGCCTTTATGAGGTTTAATTTAAACTGTTATTTTCAAATGAGAATCAAGAGAAGAATGTGTTGTATTTTTTTTAAAAAAAACAACAACTAAATAATCCAATTCAAATTTTAAAAAAATTGATTTAAAAATATTACTATTATTTTTTAAGATAATGTTCCCAAGTCTGTTTTGGCCAGAACAATTGCAGAATCCTGTTGGATACTGGTGGAACATAAAGCAACTCCGGCCTGCTAGCATGGGATCTCACACTTGTACAAGTGGTGTTTTGACATACACAGAGGCAGCTTTTGATGCTTACAACCCAGTTCTTTATATGCCTGACAAAGTGGACTATAGTCCCAAAAGGATTGTGCCAAATGAAACAAGTTAGACTTTCAGGTGCTGCAAAATTCTTTGTTGTTTTTAAATATATAGAGATTGTTGAAAATGCCTCCTAACCACACACACTTTTGCTGGGGGTGGGGGAGCAGCCTTGCAGAAGCAGGGTAGAAGTATTCAGCTTCACACTAGTCTACATGGTGCACACACTTTCCTGTGCTAATTTAATGGGGATTTTTAATAAGAGTTTACTGATACAGGTATAAAAGTTTTTTTTTCTTGCATGTTGCTTTTGGTAGCAAAGATCAAATGATGATTTTAAAGTCTTAGGCTGCATAACAGGTGGCATGAAAACAATTAATATTGCTTAAAATAGAAAACGGTACATTTCATGGAAGCTGAAACAGTATTTTTGGAAGCAAGCTAGGCTTCATTTTGAGGAAATGCCCATCTGTAGGCACTAGATGGTGCCAGAGTATCTGAAATCAAATACATGTTTGGAGAGGGGCAAAAACAGCCAATAAAAAAGTCTTGTACTGTAATCAGTTCAAGATGTTTGCACATTTCCTTTGTTATATTTAGTTGTTTCTAAATATGGATTGTGTTCTGTATGGGAATCTCTAATCAGACAGAGAGACCAGTCCTTTTCAGAGGGACTACATTTGGATAAGGCATCACATTTTGAAGAAGCTATTGTGTTCACATATAGACCTGGTACAACTAATGTAATTTTCTGTAGCTCCACAGTAATACAATCAATCCAGTTTAGTATCCTGGAAGTTCAGTATAATGCTTCACTGGACATATGACCAACTTTGGGGTCAATTCATCATGATCTGATCAGTTAGATTCAGTTCTGCTAGAATTAAGTAGATAAGACCCCATATTTTCTCTATTAAGCTTTCTCTATTACAGACAAACCGCACCCACAATTACAAGGTGTGGTCATGGCCACAAGCACAGATGGCTTTGAAAAGGTTTAAATAAATGAATTCCCATGGCTACTGTCCTGCTGGCTGGAAGATTCTGGGAGCTATGGATCATACTGTTCTTATTTATATACTATAGTTCTTACTCTTTTTGCTCTGAGCAAGAGTGTTGTCTTGGAAGGCCAATTAAGGCTTGGATTTATTTTCTGCAGAGATACGAGCAGTGGTGCAGAGATAAATTTGGAAAGTGCTGGTGTTTATAATATCAGTTCTTATAGTTAGCCCTCTCCCCAGAAGCAGAGTGTAAAAATACAGGCAGGTGGGTCAATCCATATCAGTAAAAGAGCAGCAGATCCATTGAAAGGTAATGACTATTAATTAGCTATCGAGAATATCCCGTCCCTGGATACTTTGCGTTACAACAGGGATACTTCAATAAATGGCAAATCCATTTCTCTTCCAGTTTCTATGAAGGTTTTTGCTGAGCTCAGATGAAACAGGGGAACCAAGTTATGGTCATAATCATGCTACTTGTGGCTTCAGTCTTGTGACTCTACTCCACTGCAGAATATGATCCATCCAAGCTGAATGCAACCTCTATGCAAATCTTCCATAAATTACTATTAAGAGAACAATCTGATTCAAATGTTGTATGCACATTTGTGAGCCCCAGTATGTTTGACCTAGGCCCATTCTTGCATTTTAATTGCTATTTTCTCAGTTTTATCGTCAGTCTTTTCTTTTGGACCTTCCAGGCCTTTCCATGCATATCTGCATATCTGTTTTGGAGTGTTTATCACTGTATCCTGTACTCAGAGTTTGCTGTTTTAGAGTATTTATCAACATATGCTATACTCTCAGTTGCTATGTTTAGTCTGCAAGCACAGTTTTCCAGAGTAAACCTTGCAGTTGACATCAGAGGTTTTCAGAGGAACAGGATAAAAAAGTAACAAGTGACATCAAGCACTTGTTGTGGCATTTCAAGTAATTTCTTTGAACCACATACAGTGGTGCCTCGCTTGACGACGTTAATCCATTCCAGCTAAATTGCTGTTAAACAAAATCATCGCTTTACCTTAACAGCGATTTTCCTAGAACGGATTATCGTCGTTAAGCGAGGTACCACTGTACATCTACTCAGACATAAGCCGTGCAGAAAGTTAATGTATGTATCAAGTTCTGTTCAAGCTTTTTTTAAAAAGAAACCCTTCTTACATTTTAAAGTTCAGTTTTTATTCATTGTGTGTTACATTTGATCACTGTTTATATTTTAGGTTTTCACAAGGTAATGGAAGGGATTCACAAGGCCCTGGAACTTGGATATGACCCGGTTAAGGTGAGAGTGTTCCATGTTGCAAACTGTGAGCCACAGATTATTTACCAAAGATGCTAAATACATAATTGTCGATCTAGAATTCTTATATTATAAAGCTTTTCTTTTCTTTAACTTCGTCACCATTTCTGAAGCAAAAATAGAAAATAGATGTGAGTATAGAGCAGTGCTTTCTAGCTCGGCTGTCTTGGCCATGAGACTTGAAAAAGATGTCACACACACCCCAAGCTCTTCTGTTTGTTTGTTTTCCCTAACAGACAGATTTGTCTTTGGGCATGACTGTTCCTTTTCTCCCTAATTACGCTGCCACCAGAGGATTTCTTCCTCAATTACCAATTATGAACACAGAATCACTGATGTCAAATCTAATGATGATGTTTATTTAAAGATTAACAGGTGAAACACACAAAGAAAATCGTGGATGGTATTGTAGTTGTAATTCATTAAACTTCTTTTGATTTACACATATGTTGGTTCATTTATATTCAGCTATAAATGAAAATAAACAGTTTATATGTAACTGTTTATTTAAGGCTTATAACTTTTACTTCTTTCAGTTCTCTCATACATTAACTTTCCAAGTGTTCTCTTTTAAATCCTATCTTCCTCGTCTATCTATCCCTCTCTATATATGTATCCCTCTTCTCTCTAACTCTTCCCCATCCTAACTTTTCCTAACTGTCCACCCTAACTGATCTCAACTGTCTTCCTTTTCCCCCCTCTTTCTTGGTTCCACCCTCCTGTCCTATCATTGGCTCCCGCATCAGGGTTCTAACGTAATGGACAGGCGTGACATTTGGACTGTCCATCACAGATGTGTGCAGAGCCTCTGTCTTGATAAATGAATCTGCAATACATTACCAGTGTCCAGGTATTTTATTGCTCTTTAAAGCAGGGATGGGGTATGTGTGGTCCTCCAAATTTTGTTGGGCTATAGGTCCCATCAAACTCAGTCAGCATTGTTAGTGACATGATAGACATTATTGCATGATAGATATTGCAGGGTTGTACATTCCCCATCACTGTTTTAAAGGAAAGTATTTAGGAAAGGACTATCTCAGTGATATACTTCAGCCTTTATCCAGATGTCAAATTGTCCTGTCATGCTGGTGATGTTGCCGTACGCATATTGGCTTCAACCAGCTTCCCTTTTTTCCTCTCTTAGGTAAACTGCGTAGTTATGAGAGGCCTCAATGAGGACGAGCTGGTAGATTTTGTAGCTCTTACAGAGAAGCACCCCCTGGATGTACGCTTCATAGAATACATGCCCTTTGACGGTGAGTAGAAAGTGGTAGTGGGATTTCAGAGATCACATATATGGGAGATACTTTTGATATTCCTGTTTGGAGAGGGACTGGTGAATCTCAGGGGCATTGCCATCACTGGTTCCTGGAAAGTGCTCCATGTATCTCTTAATGATGTCACAGATTTATAGTAGCAAAAATGTAAAGCATATCAAATTTAATTCAACCGAAATTATTCTGTAAATAATTTTTATTCACTTTGCGACTAACCTTATGATTACAAAATAGTTTTTCTTTTGTTTTACAAGCTCTTTCTTCCTTAGTTCTGGGTCTGGGCTGTTTCATTCCCCAGCTGAGACAAGCAAATTGAAAGTGTATACAGTTCATTATGTACAGTGGCCTTGGCATAGGGCTGAAGAGCTCCCACACCTGCAATTTGCATTGAAGAGAAAATGCAGCAGTGGGAATCCCCACTCATGCAGATCTCAGATTCATTAGAATCTGAGTTCAGTCCAGGGGTTGCATTCTGTCATGAGGTACATGGAGAGGTATTTGCCTTTTGTAGGCAGAGCCAAGCAATGCATGCAGGTGAGTGGCCCCAATGTCAGTGGTTTGGGGAACTCCTTCTCTTTTGGAAGAGGTGGCTTACCATGAAGAATTTGGTTCACAGTCTGGGGGTCCATCTTGACCCATTGCTTACCATGGAGACCCAGGTAGCGTCCATGGTTTGGTCTACCCACTTATATCTTTGGCGGATCGCCCGGCTGCATCTCTATCTAGACACGGGGGCGCTCACCACGCTGGTCCATGGACTTGTAGTCTCAAGAAAAGACTACTGTAAAACTCTCTGTGTGGGACTACCTTTGAGACTGATGGGGAAGCTTCACATGGTCCAGAACATGGCAGCCAGGCTATTAACAGGGATATCACCATATTTCCACCACCTTGGCTGCCTTACTCTGGTTACCTATCTGCTTCCGCATTGATTTCAAGATGTTAACCATTACATATAAAGCCCTTAACGGTTTAGGACCTCGATACCTGGCCGAGCATCTTCTTTTGCCCAGTTCTACCCGTATCACCTGCTCCAGTCAGACCAGGGAGCTGAGGGGCCTAATGCCAAGAGAGGCCCAGTGGGGAAAAAATTAGAAATCGGGCCCTTCGCCTCTGGAACAACTTACCTGTAGAGATCCACTTGGCTCCCTCGCTGAGGGCCTTCAAGAATAACTTGAAGACATGGCTAATCAGGCAGGCCTTCCCTACAGCCCTTACCTTGCCTGTCTCCCCTTTTGTTTTCTTTTTATCTCCTTCTTTTTCTTCTTTTTTTCCTTTCCCATCTTTGACTAATCTGGATTTTATCTTAGTTTATTTTTATATTATATGTAAACCACCCAGAGTAGACAAGTTCTAGATGGGCAATATATAAATCTAATAAATAACTATCAAATGGACAGGGCCCCTTTATTTTTCCTCTTACACAATTCACAGGCATCTGAACATAAATTCTGTATGAGTAACTTAGTTACTCTTCTGCTTATATCAGAGGTTGAGAATTTTGTGGTCCTGAAGGTGTTGCTGACAGCTCCCATCATTCTTTGCCATTTCCCAAGATGGCTAGATCCTGTGAGAACTGGAGTCTGAGAACAACTGGTGGGTCACAGATTCTGCAGACCTGCATTATATTTTATTAGTAGACACAGCAGCAGAAACATGTTGCATATAAGGGTTGTGCTCACTAGGAACCTTGAGTGGAAAATATTGAAAAATAGAAGATAAAAGGTTGTTTTTCTGTTGGCCTGGTCGTGTTTGGTTTGTAAGCGCCTTGCACTGATTTTAGAATATTCACTAGTTGGATTTGAAATACCCTGATGAATACCCATTCCAACAGAAGTATAAATAGACAAAACTTCATTACAGATCCAGAGTTGGTAACTAGAGTGTGTTAAATATTTTATTTGACAACATTACAGAATTTAATAGTGTGGTGGTTGTGACTGCATAATTTGGAATATTCTTTGTGTCTGCATTAGCAGCAGTGAGATTATATATAATTTATCTCGTAGTAGGAGGTAAGTGAATGGGTGACAAAGCTAGTGGCATAGCTAAATGAACCAATACTACTAATATATAGTTGACTCTCCTGCACTCTAGTTATATTATGTAAGCTAAGTAATTATAGCTTCTACTTGATTTCTTCCTGTGTACTATGTGAATTTAAAAAGCTAAGCTAATTTTCACAAGGCATGTCTCCACTCTCCAGTTAATTAGCTAAATTTAGAGAATAAATTATAGAATTGAAATTCATTAATCAAAATGATTCAAAAATTCCTAAATCAAAAAGGTTTGTTTTGTATTCATTAATACCAAAATGATTAATTCAATGCTAAAACCAAACTTCACATATTAGATCAGTTCTTGATCCTTAAACACAGATGTGAAAGGCAGTTAAAGTATTCAATTTTTGTATTTGCGAAGGCTTTCATGGCCGGGATCTAATGGGCTCTTTGGCCGTGTTCTGAAGGTTGTTCTTCCTACTGTTTTGCCAGTCTCTGTGGCCGGGAGCTTCAGAAGACAGCACTCTGTGCTCTGCAGATGCCGGGACAAGAGACTGGGGAAACGTCAGGAAGAGCAACCTTCAGAACACGGCCAAAGAGCCCGAAAAACCCACAATAACCACTATTCAGGTTTTTTCCACTCATATTTGAGATTTTAAAGTGGATTTTGACTCCTGTCTTCAGACAAAATCCAATCTTAAAAAAACCTCAAATCCAGAAAATATTCTAACTTCACTAGACAAATGATTAACATTTGTTGCAAAAAGGGTTTGTTAGCCAAATATCAAAGCCATCCAAAGCTACCTGGATTCTTAGCTCCAGAGACTGGGAGGAAAAGAAATAAAGATAAAGCAAAGATATAGGGAACAGATCTCATTAGCTTTTCTACCTTGTCTTCAGTCTGTTCAGAGGTGAGGGTTACAAAGGACAACCCACCCGTCTGAAGTGTCGACCTGTCCTCCGCATCACGTGATTGAGAATATCTCCTTGTACAGCCTTTGCTGTGGCTTTTTTCCCCTTTGTCCTTCCAAAGCTCTCCTACTTTGCATATCTTATCATGGTAACACTTTCCTCATTGCATCATCTTAATCTCAAGGACTCGTCAACTTTCTTCCAGCCATTCTCCATATTACTGTTATGATGTCTCGGTCAGTATGTGTGAAGGAGAAATACTGGCTATCTCTGTATCATTAAAGATGCAGGCCATGAACTACTCGCTCTTGTCTGTGAATACAGGGAAGATCTTTTCTTCTTTAAAGGAAAATATGCTATGCTTCTTAAACACAAGTTCTTGCCCAACTTCGACAGCATTTAGTTCTAAGATGCAAAAGTTTCTGAATGAATATTAGAACATTGAGAAGAACATTTATTTCTGAGGGGCTTTGGCTTCCCTTGTCTCCCAGCCAGCATGACTAGTGAATTCTGGAAATCTATTTCCCCCACATTTTGTGGAGAAGGGATAATGTCAGATGTTGAAATTCTGGGATCTTCCATATGCATCTGCTCAACACTTCATCCCAGATTAGATTAGCAGGTCCGGATAAGCATTTTGTGGCTGCTTTGGGAACAGACCAGCAATGTTTAACTCGTTCAGTACCAGACTGATGTACTATAAGCTCAATTCTTATGTAATTAGGATGGAACATTCATAAGGTACGTTCCTTAGTATTTTACCTGCTGGCTCACAGTGGTTTTAATCTGTTATTTTTCCGTAATATCCTTTGCTCCTTGCAATGCTATTTCTGATACAAATGCCAATTTTGGAGAGGGGACAGATGTTGCTCTGCTAGTATAATTTAATCAGATCACAAAAACATGCCATTGTTGATTGTTAAATTTCTACATTAATCTCATCAGCACCATTGCTGTTAGACTCATTGATCACTAGTACTGGTTTCCCTCTCATTCTAGGCAATAAGTGGAACTTCAAGAAAATGGTGAGCTATAAAGAAATGCTGGATACAATCAAGCAACGATGGCCAGAACTAGAAAAATTACCATGTGAAGAGGCTTCTAGCACAGCAAAGGTAGTTAATAGCGTACTTTACAAACTCCCAAGCCCTGACATATTTATTAGCCTACTGAACCAATGTACAGAAATTACTTTTTTCGGGTGGGTGGGTGGGAATCGAAGCAGTTATAGTTGTTATGGTAGATACGTATACTTGGGTTGCCCACACAAGAGAAATTGTTAAGGGACTTTACATTTTGTGTATACTGCAGAGTTGCATGGCAACTTCTGCAAGGAGCTATTACCATGAAGGCAAGAAGTATTGTGATTCTGATGGCAATCTTTGATTAAGCATAGTGAAAGAGTAATGCAACTATACGAAAGGAACTGTTCATTTTCAGTGTTTTGTATATGCTTACAATGGGTGTTTTTTCATCTCATTTTAACATTTTCCCTGTTTGATACAGGCTGCACATATGGTCTTGACTATTATCTGTTTCCCCTCTTCTAACCCATTTCATTCATTGGGGGAGGCCAAGACTGTTGAAGAATGCCACATATGGATGATAATGTGTTTCTGTCTCACACTACTTTTTCTTTCTTGTTCTATGTCTTGACAGGCATATAAGGTGCCCCATTTTCAGGGAAAAGTCAGCTTCATCACCTCAATGTCTGAGCATTTCTGTGGATCCTGCAATCGACTGAGGATCACAGCAGATGGGAACTTGAAGGTAGTAGCATTGCATTATTCACCAATGGTTGGAGTTTGCTAACCTTTGGTTATATGAGCTGCAGTCAGAGTTGGCTGTGTACCCTGAACAGGTCTAGAAATCACAGGGTGAATGCTATCGGAGCCTGAGCCTTAAATCAAATGACATTATAGCATCCTATGTCTTTTTTCCACTTTTTCTGCTGCTTGAAGGAAAAACTTTGGCTCTTTGCTTGATTTTTGCTATCCCACACAGGTTGCCTTTCCTTCACCTGTCCTTGTCTTTATATATATATATATAATGCACCTTATTTGGCCTTTGAAGGTAAATTGGTGTGAAGCCTGTGAAGATATACATGTAGCTGAGTACTTAGGGATTTGTCAAATCAGGCTTGGGTTGCACAGGTCAAGAAAGTGGTGGCAAGAAGTCGTGGAAGGACGGCAGGTTCTGAAATAGAATGATCACTGCGTGTTTCCTGTGTATTTGAAACCAGTTTCAGTTCAGTATTGACCTTTGTGTTGTAAGCTGCCCAGTGGTGGAAGAAAATATTGTATTGTCCACTGATGCCACATCAGAATGAATGCAGTTGAAGCCTCCCAGCTTATGAAGGGGAAGAAGGTGCTATCTTTTCAAATAAATTCTAGTATGAGCAATCAAACCTCTACATGTTTACCTTCAGAGTTGGTCCATCTTTGTTTTAGGATAACGGAGTGGGATGGAAGAGATGGTGTTGCCTCAGATGTTCTCTCCACACACACCAAAGGTTTTTGGTGCCTAATTGTGCTTTTTGGGGACCATTGCAGTTTTGGAATTTAGAACCTTCCATCCCTAAAGATGAAGTAGGGATTTTTAAAAGGAAATGGGTTTTGGTCCGTAGCAGGTCCTTTGGGGCTGCTTTTGTAAACAGAAGTGAATGGCTGGAAGCAAGCAGCTTGTCAGATTATTATTTGGATTGCAAATTCCATCAGCCTTCTTCATCATAACAAGTTTTAAGGTGGTGGTGGCAATCAGGATCCAGTAAGGTCTGGAGGGCCATACACGTCCCATCCATGATCTGCTGCTACTTTGACTGAAACATCTAAGTTAATAATTCTCTCCTCTGTTTTTCTAAATGTTTGCTTCAGGTGTGCCTTTTTGGAAACTCAGAAGTGTCCTTGAGAGATCATTTAAGGTCTAAAGCCACAGAAGAAGAATTAGTTCAAATAATTGGCAAAGCTGTCGGCAGGAAAAAGAAACAACATGCAGGTATTCTGTTTTGAAGCAATTCAAGTTATCTTGTATGTATCATGCAGCGCCCTGTTCTTTTATTATTATTACAGTGGTGCCCCGCATGACGACGATAATAGCTGTTTAGCGAAATCGTCATCATGCGAAATCAGTTTCCCCATTGGAATGCATTGAAACCCATTTAATGTGTTCCAATGGGGAAAATACCTCGTCGTCCAGCAAAGATCGCCCATAGGGAAGCCATTTTGTGAAGCCCCAATCAGCTGTAAAAATGGCTGCCCTCGCAGCATAGGTCTGGAAAAGACAGGGCAGCCATTTTGCGGAGCCGGAAAAATCGTCATCTTGTGAACAAACGGTTCGTGAAGCACGGACCTAATCGACATCAAGCGAAAATCCCCCATTGGAATAACTGTTTTGCAAATCGCTATAGCGATCTCAAAAGTCATTGTAATGCGGATTCGTCGTTCAGCGGGGTCGTCGTCTTGCGAGTTACCACTGTATTATTTTATTTTTTATTCTTAAAAACTAGGGGAAAGGTAAGGAGTACGAAAGGTAGAGGAGGATATGGGGGGAAAGAGGGGGAAGGAGAACACAAAATGTACTGTCATCCAATCTGTTTGTTCATGTTGCGATATCAAGTCCACTTTTTGCCTTTCTGCAATCCGATTGCCATCCAGGTTTCAACTTACAGTTACATCTTAGTTTAATTCTGTTATTCAAGCACTACCTGGTGATTTAAGTCATTTATATGATAAATCCCATTGTTCAGTTGCCTTTTGTATTGACAGTCTTTCGACACTTCTGATAGAATATTCATTTCTGTCACTTTCCATATCGTCTCAATAAGTTCATATTGTTTTGGTATCTCCTATTTCTTCCAGTTCTTAGCATTAAGAATTCTGGCTGCAGTGACTATATATATAACTAGGTAGTTCTTTATCTTATCTGTAATATCTGGTATAATGCTCAGTAAAAACAGTTCTGGGGTTAGTGGAACATCACAAAGCATTATTTTTTTGTAACAGAGTACGTACTGCTATCCAATACTGTTTCACTACTCTACAAGTACACCACATATGGTAAAAGCTTCCCTCTTGTGCTTCACATTTCCAACAAACATTGGACCCCCTGTATAAATCGTTGACAATTTTTCCAGAGTCATATGCTACCTATAATACGTGTTATATATGTTCTTCCTTGAAATTTACTGATTTTGTGAGCTTTATGTTATTTTTCCATATTGGCAACCATTGATCAATATCAATATTATGTCCTATATTTTTTGCCCACCTAATCATACATTCTTTTACCATCTCATCTTGCATTTTAGTTTCAAGCAAATAATCATACATTTTCTTAATTACTTTATCATTTGAGCCCAGCAGAAGTTTATTGAATATTGTTTGTTCTGCGTAAAATTCCTCTGTTACGACCTAGTTTCCTGTGAGGGAGAACATGGTCGGTCGGACAGAGAATAATTGGAAATCTGAGCACCCCTATGCAGCTGGGTGAGTCCTGGTGACCTCAACCAGGGCGTACAACAAACTTCTTACAAGTCTGCCCTAAAAAGAGACTTGCTGACCTTTAAGAAAGCTCAGCAGGAAGTTACACATGAGCTTTGTAGTCCTAAGATCTACCTGGCTCAGTAATGTAGGACTCAGTAGCTTAATGTGGCTTTGCTTCCCCCTCAGGGTATAGCTAAGACAGCTTCACTGTTCAAGAGACCAACAGATTTTATGATATTTTTATTGAAAAAATATAGATTTACAGAATAAAGTCAGTTTGATGCAAAAGCATAGCAAATACACATTTTCAAGGTTTGTTACAAATTACAATTAAGGCAACTAATTCTCTTTTAGTTACAATAGCTCAAGAAATATCTAAAAATCTCTAAAAGCTTCCTTAGGGTAGGCAAAAGGCTTAAAGCCCCCCTTCTCTTCTTCCTTAACTCCCTACATCTTCCCAGTCCTTTCCCTGCATGGGGCAGCAGGTAAAAAGACCTAGAAAAATCTATGGTTCCATCCAAAAGGAAAAAATTCTCCCACTCAGATCTACTCGGCATAGCCAAGAGGGACAGTTGAGGGGCTTAACGCTGAGAGAGTCCCGGAAAGAAAGAACAAGAAACCGGGCCTTCTTGGCAGTGGCCCCTCGACTATGGAAGAGAGCTGCCTGGCTCCCTCGCTGGGGGTTTGCAAGAGCCATTTAAAGACTTGGTTCTTCAGGCAGGCCTTCCCTCCTGTCAATTCTTGAATTCTATCTTTTTGTTCTGTTGTTCCCCATCTTGATCATACTAAATTATTGTTTAAATGTTTTATGATTGTGATGTTTTTATTGTATTTTAATGATATTTTATGACATTTGTAAGCCGCCCCGAGTGCTGTACACTAGGGGGACGGTATAGAAATACAAACAAACAAACCTTAGAACTGCGGAGCCAGAAGGGACCCTGAGGATCATCAGGTCCAGTCCCTGTCAAGGAGGCACAGTGGACAATCAAAGTCCCAACCTCAGGCTGTGCAACCAGATGCCTAAACCACTGAGCTGTCCAGCAGTTTCTGAGTGTTAAAGTGTTCTAGCATCAAAGCAGGCGTATTAATCAGAAAGAAGGCTGAACCATGATTATGTGATTTAAAAGAAGACCAGTATTTTCTAATATTTTGTTCTGACCAAGGTTCACTCCCTAGATGTTTGGGATGCACACTTTTCTAACATGATTTCTAGATGCTTATGTATCTAGAATGAAGACCCCTAATTTTTGTCTGTTCATTATTTTATTTCCAGGCATGTTCAGCATTTCCCAGATGAAGAACAGGCCAATGATCCTCATTGGTGGGTGACCAATCAGTACGTAATAAACTCTATCGTGATGCTATATTTACAATTGCCCCTCAGGCAAGCATTGAGTTTGAATTATGCAGAGGTGTTTATAGACACTGACAGAAAGCTAAATATTTTCATTCACTAAACGTATTTGCACTTCTAAAGAGGAACAACAGCTACTTCTTTTACAGGCCAGAATCCTGTTTGGGTTTGCACAGTATAAAGCCAGAATTGTGCAACTGGTGTGCACAATTGTTCTAGCTATCTGTTGCACACTCAGCCCTATTCATGTTATGTTCTTGGCTGCACTCTTGGCAACACAACAAATAACAGCAAAAACTACATGTAATTTTGCTTAGGCACACAGTATTTTGCGATAGGATTCTGGCCATATATTTTTGAGTGACTGTTTTCCTTTTGGTTTGTTCACATTAGCCTTTCAGTGAATGCACAGTTTACCTGTCCACTCTTATTGAAGCTTATAAGCCACTTTCCTAAGACTAGAAGCTCCCAATCAAAAAGTACAGTACCTTTGTTCTTGCCAACTGGTGTAAAATTGGATGTGTTTGCAGCATTGCTTAGCTAGCATATGAATAATTTGGGAAACAGGGACAATTAACTACCATTGCTTCCACACTATGGAAGAACTATGTTGTAAGCCCGTAACTCTCTCAGTGTCATGCTGTTTAAATACTTAGATACATTTGGGGTTTGCTGGTAATGAAACAAGAGCGGAGGAAGCTAGATGCAAACATGGGATCCCTCCAGACTGGTTACCTGCAGCCTGCTACGTTGCTAAGAACCAGATCAGGTCTGACCAGCAGGCATTCTGTGTCTTGGGAAAACTTACCACTAGCATTCTCTCTACAAACAGTATAGCCTCTGTGACCGATGTTGAGCCAGAAGCCAGCTTGATTATGATACACAGACTAGCATGGATGTATGGAGAGCAGCTTCCTAATTTGGGCTGATTGCATTATTCTAGTCTAGCCAGCTGGCATGTGAACAGGCAGAAAGAAATGGGTGGAGAACCAAGTAGGGATTGAGAGAATGAAGCCTTGATAGCATACTGAATTTGCAATGAATTAGTTGTACAATTCTGCTGTCATAGCATATTGCCATGCTTCGTTTCATTGCTTTCATTTAACAGAGGTTCTCTTTAAATATAGTCTGATCTCAGTGTTTCCTTTGACATGTCCTTTCTGTGTCACTGTGGGAAGCTTGGCAAGATGCAAAAACCTATGTTCTACAATCCAACACCATCAGTTCACAGCATTTTTTGAAAAAAAAATTTGCTGTGAACTGGTGGTCTTGAGTTATAGAACATAGGCTCCCACTTAAGATCATTTGTTGAAAAACATTGGCTGTGGACTTGTAGTGTTGGATTATAGAATATAGGCTCCCACTTTGGAATCATAGTCTGACCACTGATAGTGACTTAACTTGTATCCTGTGCTTCTTCCTTTGTCTCTGTTCGTGCAACGTAAGTCATGGAGGTGCCCTCCCCTGCCCATCACAAACTCTAGTTATAAAAAGTACCCATGTCTTAATTCTGTTTTCCTTCCTCACTGCTGACATGTTGATCATTTGCAAACAAATCCTGCCCAGGATAACCCTACCACTATATTATATGTTGTGAGCAACTCAAAGAGACTTGCCAGAAGGGGACAGCAGTGGCACACATTGAACTAGGATGTGTTGTCCAATGTGTGGCAAAGAGTCCAGTCTAGGTGAGAGGGCTTAATCTGCTCCATGTTTTAACTAAAGTTTAATTCCAGAATTAAAGAGTAAGACAGTTGTTGCCACTTGACAAATTCACTTGGTACTTGGACATAGGTCCTTTCCCTGTGGGAATGTGCAGTGATCCATTGGTGTGTAAGGGGAGGATCTCCAGAAGTTAGGAGTCACACATGTACCCTGTTTTCTCAAAAATAAGACTTAACCTGAAAATAAGCACTAGTATGATTTTTCAGGATGCTTGTAATATAAGCCCTATCCCAAAAATAAGCCCCAGTTAAGTTAAACCCTGCCCTCCACCATTATGAGCAACCAGAAGAAGATGAAGTGAGTGAGTGTATTTGAATAAACATAGATTGCTGTACATGAAAAAAATAAAACATCCCCTGAAAATAAGCCCTAATATATTTTTGGAGCAAAAAATTAATAGAAGATTGTCTTATTTTCGGGAAAACATGGTGCATCCTTGTAGTTACGAGCCAACCTCTCTCTCTCATTCCCTCCCTCCCTCCCTCTCACCCTCTCTCACTCTCTCTGAAGTTTTAACTGAAGAAGTCTCTATCGGTGGCTTAATGGCCAAAATATGCATTGAAATAAAAAAGTAAACAAAAAAGGGGGGATAGTAGGGACCCTGGTGTGCTAGCAGCCCTCAACACGTAGCAAAATTCTGCCTAGGCTCCGTAGAGCACACAAGGTGAATCCTGAGCCAATTTGTTTTTTAAGAAAGATATTTGAGCCAATGACGGCTGTGTCCACCCAACAGGTCACATGTTGACTGCCCCTGATGAAAGGGAAGGGGACAGGCGCCAGACACTGAGCTTTGGGTTGAGAACTGTTCTCCTCCCTGCACCTCGCCCCACTTTGTAAGCTCCCCTCCCTTCTGCCTGTGCTGTACCTTCCCTATGGATGTGGCTGAGCATTGCACAGGTCTGTGTAGACCAGATGAACATGTAATGGTGTGAGATGCAGTACAGAGGGACAGTGTTTTGGGGGAAGCTGTTCCTAAACAGGGCCCTGCTTGAGGTGCACTTCTTGTCATTTCCATCTCCTGGTGTAGAAATTAAACTGTGTTACATTTCAAATTCACAGAATGTAAAGATCCTCATATACTGGTCTCAGTTGATTTTGTGATTTTGTGAGTCTGTTAAGATCAGAGGACAACTGTGTTACATTGAAAATTCACAGAATGTAAAGATCCTCATGTACTGGTCTCAGTTGATTTTGTGAGTCTGTTAAGATCAGAGGAGACTGAGGTGTTTGTGCCTCAATTATAGGAGCTGAAACCAGTGGGGGTCACATTTATGAGAGAGTGCTTCTGTGTCTTCAAAGAAGAGACACTTTCTCCTGTGTTGGAGGTGGGCAAAGTGTGGCCTTCCAGATGTGGTTGGGCTTCAGTTTTCAGGAGGGCCTACCATGCTATGGTCCATGGGGTCACAAAGAGTTGGTCACAACGAAATGACTAAACAACAACAACAAGCTGGGATAGCTAGTATTGACGAACAGTGGGAGTTGAAACCCAACAAATTTGGAAAGGTGCACTTTGCTCACCCAATCCTAAAAGACGAACACATATTGAACCCTTGTAAGAAACCCTCCTAAATTTAGAGCTGGTGAGTGTCTTGAGCTGCATCAGGCTTCACCTCATCTCCTAGCTGCTGGAAATAAAACAGATGGTTCGCTTGGAAGCCCTGAAAAGCGCACAGGGAAACGTCATAAAGGTACACATCATTAAAGAGAGACTTGGCTACCCCTTTACGTCGTCCTCCCCTTTTCCCTCCCTGGTTCCTAAAGAGAATAGCTTCCATTATGTTTTAACAGTCTCCTTTTGACTTGGTCCTTGGCACTGAACTCTAGAATTGCCACAGCCGAGGGATTAATGAGAAGGGCAGAGAGGTCCTGTTCCCAGTGGACTTGGAGCTTAAGCTGGCAAAGCTCCCAGCCAGAGCAAAGGTAATGCATGTCAGCGAGGCAATCTGAGCTCGGAGCAGCAGCAAAAGCTCCATGCCTGACGTGTCTTGTTGTGAACACAGCAAGAGCTGGCAACAGCAACCAGCAGCTTTTTTGTAGTCACTTAAAGCCGCTGCCTGTTCTTCGTCCAGCTTCTGTGAATAGAAAAATAAATTATTCCCACTTAAAAGCTTTGGCTGTGGTTCCAAATGAGGATGTCAGTGGTTTGGGTACTATAAAGGATTAAGATGGTAATGAAAGTTATTCATACTTATTATTGCATTTACAGCCTAGTTTAATGGGACAGCTCTTTGAAAGACAGTGAAACAGTACTTTGACAGATGGAGCTTGATGCTGTGGTTATTCCCTTCCTGTACCTTTGAGCATGTCAGGGATGAAGTTCTCAGCACTCCTCTTGGAGCCAGGGCATCGTTCCATATTTCAAGATTTCAGTTAGGATAAAGTACTTCCATTTTATGATAGCCTTAAGATCCATAATGTCATCAGTAGATGAATTGCAATAATGTTTATAGCATTATTCTTCCTGGTTGCTTATAGAACTTGCTTTTCTGGATTGATCTGGGTTTTGAGTCACAGATGCTTAGTCTGCTGTCGGCCTTTGCAAACCTATTGTGAATTCTTCCCCCTGCCCCTTGTCATGTAAGATGGAGAGGTGTGGTTTGAAAAATAATAACAGGGTCCTGTCAGCCAAGTGAATAAGGGCTGAGGGTTCCACAGACCCGAGCAGCTAATAACTGATGAGAGCCAAGTCAAATTTAGAAGTTTTCATTATCCAGAAAGCTATAGATCTGTTTTGTCCTGCCCCCTTACTTCATATGACTTTATATAGCTCTGAATAAACTCGGTAGTAGCTTTTCTCTTCCAACAAGCTAAACATTTACTTTGGTGTTGTTGTTTTTTGTTCCCCCAGAAACAGCACCAAGGTCATTCCCACTGCTCCAAAATGCCCTGCAGGATCGAGCACATTTAAAGGCTTGGGGCCCTAGACCTGGCCACTGGCTGACTCCGAGAACAAGTTTATCCAAACAGATGGCGAAAACATTTAAGAAAAATGTGTTTACAGGACATCTTGCCTTGCCAGGATTTTGTTCAGCCCGACAGCTTGCAGCAGGAATCCCACAAGCTCAGCTCAGTAGCAGTTGCATTCTCCAAAAGAACTTGAACTCCAGTTTGGAAGCAAAGTGCCTTTGGATAGGAACCCTTTTCTCCAAACAGATTTCGCACAAGATGAGGGGCATTTGCTGTGAGGCGACTGGAAATAAAGCAAAAAGAAGCCCTCTGTCTCTTCCCACCACCAGATTTCTTTGTGCCTCCTCCTCAGATAATCTAACCCACATTGATGAGAAGGGCCGTGCATCGATGGTGGATGTGGGCAGGAAGCCAGACTCTGAACGGACTGCTGTGGCTAGTGCTGTGGTTCGTCTGGGGAAGAAGGCATTTGACTTGGTACAACAGAACCAAATGAAAAAGGGAGATGTGCTGGCCGTTGCCCAGATCGCTGGCATTCAGGGAGCTAAACTAACCAGTCAGCTGATCCCACTGTGCCACAACATCCCATTGAGTCTGGTGGACGTCACCCTGACACTGGACGAGAGGAGACACGCAGTAGTGATCCAGGCTCTGTGCCGCACCCTTGGGAAAACAGGGGTGGAGATGGAAGCCTTGACAGCTGCCAGCCTGGCTGCCTTGACTGTGTATGACATGTGCAAAGCAGTCACTCATGTCCTGGTCATCGAAGAGGTGAAACTGCTCAGCAAGGAAGGAGGGCAAAGAGGAACCTTCCAGCGAGGCTAACACAGATCTGAAGGTTTTGCTCAACGGATCACCTACACAAAAGTGTTGAAGGCATCTTTGGCCCATGTTAGGGATCAGAGGTGTGGAAAACATCACTAAATTTCTCATTCTTGTTCAGGCAGTTTATTGAGTTTGTTGACCCCTACAGGATTTCTTGTATCTAATGTGAAAGTCTTTTTCAAAACAAGGTTTCTGCAATTATCAGAAAATGTGACTGTGCAAAACTAATGGCCTTTCATTTTGTGAAGTATACACACACAGCAAGAAGACTGACTTTATTTTTAAACTTACAAACAAGCTTCAGTTTTAAATGTCCATTCCACCAGACAGCAGCTCATCTTATTTTGCACCATTTATGCCAAAAATATTTTTGCAAATGCATCCACTGTAATTGACACTAGCTGTCTTGCACAAATGGAGAAAATTCTTGTAGTTTCTCATACACCCTCATGGGAATGATGCAAGTAAGCCTTTATGTCTTTACTTAGAACTGGGGTTCCAACCACTGACAATTACAAGTCCTTTTTCTATTGGGTTGACAACTGTTTAAATAACTTTTCAAACCTGTGTGATGTAGACACGGTGTGAATCATCTCATTTGGCTGCTTGCTGATAGTTTCAAATTCTTACCTTGATAAGGTTCCTCAGGCTTACTGAGCATAGCTGTAATGAGCACTTTAAGTATTCTGGTTTTGTGTAGATCTGCCATCTGAATTGTTCACAAACACCTATCTCTTTTCACGGGCATTGAAAGAACCTGCACAACAGAATCCACTGGTTAATTCTGAGATTAAGATGGCAATAATTTCAGTGTGATATGTGAGCTGAACACTGGAAAATATAAACCATGAACTGTTTGACCAATTCCATGACCTCTTGGCCAAATACAATTAAGTGAGAATAGGCTCACTTTTTCTCTTGAAGATGGAAAACAGATGTTTCTCCTTCATGGCCTCTGTGAATGCACACTAATGGGTTAATCTGCGCCTCAGCAGAGCATCTTGGAAGCTTCTATAGCTTTAAGCACTTGGTACCGGGACCTCCCACCTATGCTATATCCCTGCCCCTGTCACCCAGTGCCTCAGTTTCATTTCCTGCCACTGCTATAGCAACATTGTTTGGAGCTTCTCGTTCCCTACCACTGCAGTCATTCACCATGCCAGGTTGAAGATGCGGTTCCTCCAAGCATGGTACCTGGCACTCTTCAGACCTCTCACTGACCTACCTTCCAAAACTCTTACAATTTCGGAGGAATTGGTGGAGCAACTAACTTGGTGGTCCCTCTGCTCGAATCTTCTTGTGGGCAGGCCCTTCCGCCCTCTTCAGCCATTGATCCAGCTCTGTCCGAGGCCTGCTCGGGAAATGTGTGGGTGCTGTAAAATAATCACTCATGGACACAAGAAAAACTTTTGCTTAAGTTCTTTGTTAGTTCTTTCCAGCATGGCCAGGGAAAAGACTGTCTTTCTGTCTCAGCGTCTCTCATCATCTCTGTGTCCCAGCAGCTCTTTTAGTTAGCTAGGAAAAAGACTGTGTCTGACTCTTAGCTTCTCTTTGCAGCGTCTCCTTTGTTCTCTCTCGCTGCATTCCTTCCAGCTCCCCCCAGCCAGCCGTCAGAGATTTATTGCCTCCATAAAACGCCTCTCCTCCAGATTACAGCCTGTTACATAGCTTCTAGGCATACATATACACACCTACTAACCTACATCACACAATACAAGAGGAAATGAG